AGAACATGCGATTATAGTTTCTATTAACTTTCTCCAACTCTGACTATGCACCACGCCAGTATTTGATTTGGATTTGGGTATTTTTGCGCCTGACTGAATACCGGACTACCGGTAGAATTAAACGCCTTCTAACTCGCAGCATGCTCGATTTTGTAGCAATTCTCCAGTAGGGTCAAGCCGTGCTCATGGGTTAACCGCACACTGTTCTGCACTACTTACCCAACTTCTTAGGCGCCATTAGCTTGCCGATTCCACTCTTGGAAGTGGACGACTGCGATACGGAAACGCGGGATTTCATCGAGCGAATAAAGAAACCGTGAAACTTCCTGCACATATCTGTTGACTCCATATAGTGCACAATCTTGAAGAGATTAACTTCTGTCAAGCCCAACTGAAACAAAAACACTTGATTAGCCACGGGAGGAAGCAGTCAAAAGGAAATTCAGAAACAGCAAGTCTAAGCAAGAATATAGACCGATTTCCCGGAAGTTATCGTCGGACTGGGCAGACTTAACCTCAAGTTCATGAAAGGTTTCCAAATGCGTAGTACAAAACGCTCGACTAATATTTTCTACATCTCTGGAAAATGATGGTACCAAGTATTACCTAGTACGAGTGATCGGAGAATCTGGATGACTGCGAACGCTCAGCGGGCCGAATACCTCGGCCCAGCCCAATTAGAGCTTGAAATAACTAACTCAAAAAAGGCCCTTTCAGATGATTTTTGGAAAATAAAACGGATGGCATTAGGCAATCCACTCTAGGATGCGCCACGCAAGTGCCAACAATTCGATATCCGCCATATCGATGTATTTCAGCGTATTAGAGCTGTACAATGACTTGTAGGCGGTAACCGTTGTAAAAAAATTAAGCGGCCTCCTCTCCCTCCCACTTGGTTCAATTGACCAAGGCCTCTTCCAGAATGATGCCCCCATCTTCCTCCTCTCCCCCGACTATGTCTTTGGTGCGACGCCACCCACCTACCACTGCTTCATCTCTGCCTCAAATGGATCTTGAGAACTGGGAAGCATCTGTTCCAAGAATATGAAAAGATTGTCAAACCCAACCCTTTGCTCGGAGTAATTTTTTCACCATACCAGGATCCGTAAACGAAACTCACTGCAATGACAAGGCCTTGAATTGTTAACACTTCCTCTGGTGTACTCAAATTCTTCCGTAAGTATTGATCAAGAGCTCCAACAACAGCCAACAGTTGCTTCATATACAAGAGGTTCTTAGATTTCAGTCGCGATCTTGAAAAGCTCTATTTTGGTCTTAACAACATTCTAGATCTGAATATCAAACTATTGAATCCTCTTTCTGACATTTACGAATTTCTTACCGAAATCGCCCATATACAGAACGAATGAGTAGGTTTTCGTTAAAAAAAAGGTAAGCTCTTTTTATTATATGAAATAAATCTTAGAATAAGCTTAACAACGCACTTATAAGTGTCCAAATACTCTCGTATCAAAGAGAGCGCAAGCGTGGTGGATACAGAAGTAACCTCTGTAGAATATAAAGACCCTAAAAAGTAGACGAATCAGAAATGAGGGGTAATTGATCAAAAAAATAGAGAGGCACTCAGAGTAGCCCCAATAAGAAGTCTGGTTTGACTCCTGCAGAGGAAAAACGGACCTATCGTTTCCAAAACATTGTGGGCCTCATCAAGGACCAGAACATTCCCCTTCAAGTCGATTCCCCAAGCCGCTCGAGTTGACGCATGAAGTATCACCTGGAAACCTAACCTTTTTTGAGGGTGAGGGCAACATAAATGAAATGAACAATGCATCGCTCCACCGGGGAAGCACTTAAATCTAACAAAGACCAATATTTTTTGTTTGAAAGCCTTTTTCGCTCTCCTCACTGCCTATGGACGAAGCTTCCAAAAACTTCGATAACTAGTCACCAGTTGCACTATGAGATACAACTAGGAATACTGAGCAAATTCTAATCGGAGTGACGATTATATGTACATCCCATATCAGCATAAAGCCCTGAGAAATGTCTCCCTGGTTCCGTACGGCTGGCTATTTCACAGGCACCCGAGTGGAACCGGGTCTCGCATTCACTCACCTCGCCCGCCAACCAGCTTCCAGCCGAAAATATCATGATTCGTATGAAGATAAAAATAATGACACCACGCAACACAACGTTACTGAAACTTCTAATTCTCAGAGGGACCGCTAGTGAAGCTTTCTATCATCCGGAATTTTGAAGTGAAATATTGAATTGTTACTATAGAAAATAACCAGTGGAAAAAATACTTTTCCGCCGAGGAGCGGCTCCACCTATTAGTTTATGAAATTTATCAAAAACCTCCAAAATTACGTTACCAATATCGAGAAGTGTACCTGGTAAGGAAGCAATACCAACTGACAGAGTGGCAGAGAAAGTCGTGTGGAAAAGTAAGCGACACCAAGCAACTCGTTTTCACGATCGATCAACCTGGAATTTCTCGACACTGACTTTACTTATACTTATCCTCCTACAACTTATGAAATTTAACGGTAGCAAGGAATGGAAACTGAACGCGCGGTTGCCAGGCGGCCAGGCCATCTAGCATGCTCTAGCGCAAGACGCTGCTGAAGAGGCAAAGGGGCAAAAAAAATTCTTGTGGGTGAAGGGGGAGCAGCATTGGACTTAAAGGACGAGTCTCAAATGAGGAACCGGACCTCTCACGCCCAAAAAAGGGTAACGCTACAAAATATGGACTGCCGCACTTTACTGTTGCTCGACTAGATTTACAGGGGAAGGAAATTTGAGGAGCAGCAAAGGGAGTGATGAGCTTTCATACTTGTCACCTCGCTCGTGCTACAAAGAGCACTTGCTAGGATCTCATTTGATAGCTCCTCGATAGCATCACCCCTATAATAGGGGCATTTGCTTGCTGCCTTCTTTACAGTGGATGAATTCTGAATCAATATTTTCTTCATTACTGATCATGAGTTGATCAAAATAAGTGCATTAACTGAAACAAGTACCTCTTTTAGGTCCAATTTTACTCTCTTTCCTTCTAAAGCGCATCCTTTTCGAAGTTCCATACATCTTTCATTTATAAGATGACTGAACTTCAGTCTCTTGACGTCCTCATTGACACACAGTGTTTGACGTGATGCTGCTGTCACAACTCTGGGAGAGAATCTAAAGCTATCATTTCATCTTGACCAGAAGGGGATCCCACGATAAAGTCGGAGGTCGGAATAGGAATATTACCTAATCTGAAAGATAGGTGAGTTCCCTAAGAGTGCATGGACGATGCGCGCTTAACAGTGAAGAGTATGAGTATGCCCAGCGGTGCAATCAGAGTCGTACCTGCGCCGCTTGTACCTCTGCATGCCCGCCGATTGGTAACCCCTCACCGTCTGACTCAAGCCCCATAGCAGAGAGAGAGAGAGCGTTAGTATTGAAGAGGGCACCACCGATGAGAGCCGCACAAGTGCAGAAATCAAATCAGCGAGAAAAAAGGGGTCCCTTTTCTCCAATTTAGGGTCATTTCTCATGGCTATCCTTCATCTGCACCGCTGACAACCTCTACTTTGATTTCTAATGGACCACCTTTTCGTCGTAAACTCCGCCCGAGGCGAAAGGCTCGTTGTGGTGATGAGGACGGATAGTGCGTCATCTTGGGCCGAACTCGAAAAGCTGCTCAGAAACCTGTCTTCTTTAGTTGTCCATCAATTGTTCCAACTGCGAATGTGTGCGTGATGCATAGAACACTTTGACAGTTTTAAGAGGTTCGTCAGGTTTAGATTCGGCTTCATCATCCGAGACATAATCTTCAGGCGCTGTGTTCTCCTTAAAGTAGCCTAATCAATGAGAACATCGGCCTTGATCATATTACAGTGTCACTGCGTACACAGGAGAAAGTTAATTGTAAGTTAATTGTAAAAAAAAATGAACACACTTGTGCAGCATCGTTCTCTGGTTCCAGCTCTTCCGAATTTCCTTCATCGCGCAAACGTCTCTTCCTGTCTCGCTTTATTACACCAGCCTTTGCCTGGTACAATTTCTCCTTGACCTTCTCCAATAATTGCAGTTTATCGTACGCTTCATCCTTGATCTTCATTATTTCCAACTTTTTCTTGTGAGCCAAAATCCAATCTAAATATGGCCTTAGCGGAGTGGGCTACAACGAACATTACTTGAGCAGAACGCCTTCTTATATGTGTACCACCCCAATGATATTTACCTTACCTTACAGATCTGACAGTTTTTCACTCGCTTATGATGCAGAGATTACAAAATATTGATATAGACCTGAACCTATCACAGACATGGTCAACTGCTGCGCTAAAGTGGACTAATCTAATCCCTCCATCCATCTTAACCCTTTCCGGACCGCGCACTTTTTGCGCTCACGGCCGCATGCTGCGCGGCAAGCATAAATATCATATATTTAATCTGTATTCCCACTAAAGCCATTATTTTGTCTCGTTTATGTCTTTGTCATGTCTCGAAGAATATATAAGATTAATTTGACAGAAAACTGTTTTGCAAAAAAAGGGAAAGGGCCATAAAAAGGGAGGAAGGGACGAAAATTGTTCAAAATAAGTTGGTATGGAGAAAAAGGGAGTAGAACGTGCCCAAAACGATTGGATCCATAAGAATCAGATACGACGAGCAGGATATTTCACAAATTCTTCGTTTTTAAGTGTTTTCAAGCGAACTACAACTGTTTTCTTTGAGCCCAAAGTGGAAGTCCATTTACTCTTTGGTTATTTTAGAACCTAGATTAAACCTAAAGTCTAGGTTTTTTCATACATATGGCATGAGTCTGTTACATAGGTATGTAACAACATAAAATATTTTATCGAAAAACCAAACTCTTGGAAAAATCAGCTCTTGAAGTTCCTGACACACCATGTGTGTCAGGCGGTCCGGAAAGGGTTAAAGGTCGAGCTCCCTCCACTATACGAAGCAAGCCGAACCCATAAATAGACCTTCCACTATCTCTTCCACCTCACCATTTCAATTCCGTTTACCACATTATGTAAGCTTAAGCTGTCTTCACAAATATTCAAACTTTTTCACTTGAAATGCTGAAGAAGGTTCAAATACAACCCGTTCCCAAAGAATGCAAAGGTTTATCCCCCCCCCGACTGTCAAATGCGGAGCTGGGATACAGGATTATGATGGATCGGTCTTCCATACAGTACTGTTAATATTAGCGCGTGTAAGGCAGCAGTGAAAACATATGCGAAATTACCAAAGATAAGTGATCAGAACCTTCATTATCGCTGACCTCTTCTGTGAGGCGCGACTGCTTTCAATAGATCTTCTTCGGTCTTTTCTCGAACTCCTCTAGCCATGTCATTGTGGCACAAGGACACTCAACGACTTACCCGTCCCAGTCGGAGATTCGAAAATTCCAACCTTGAAAACCAGTCTTTGAGAGAACACTGCTCAATGAATGACTGAAATGTGGGCGCACCTGTCCCTTCTCAATGCATTGTTTTATTTCTCGCATAAGATCAAGTTGTATGTTGTAGGGTGGGAATGGAAATGAGAACTCATCCATCCTCCCCTAAAAGTTGAGTTCACTTCCACATTCGTATAGCATACTAAAGGAAGGAAATAGAGCTGCTTTATACAGAGCTTCAACTGGAACAGAACCAAATAAATAAATTTTATTAACTAACCGAAACTAAACAATGGCATGCAGGGGCAGTAGTTATGCTCACAGAAATCGTAACTTCACCAGGAGATCAAACAATGATGGGGCACGTTAAAGCAATAATTACAAACATGCAAAATGCTCACGCGGGTCAATACTTAGGACTCGAACAGTCATTCTTTGAATTGTCAGTTTGTACGCCTCCACTTCCTCTTCGTAGAGCTGTTGAAGTTGCTGCATTTTTTGATCCGCATTGACATATGATGCCGCTACCTGAAAAGAAATTCACGAAAGTCAATTAGTTCTTACAAATAAACTCTTCAAGTTTTATGAGAGCACACCTTAAAAGCCACAGATGTAGCCGGAGAGGGAAACTGGACGCTATGCTCTCCCATCCTCGTCGGTTCCCCCCGCGTCCCCAACACACCAGACTTACGCAGCTACGGCAAAACGCATCTCCAAAATGACTCTCGCGCAGCGGCGTCCTTACAATATATAGAAGGCGTTTCAGAACGAAGTCTCAATTTTAGGGCAGCCACACTCAGCTATGGAAGTTTTCTTAAATTTGTGCTGCCGCTCAAAATACAAAGAAAAAGGAAAAAACTTTCCAAACTGAAGTTGAATCGCGATAGTCGCTCACCATCGAAGAAAAGTGACTTGTAGAATAGTCTTATTATTGCCTGCATTCACATCGGTGAATCCCTCCTCATGGCAAGAAACGAATAAAATTCGACTGATAGCTATTGAATCGGCACAATTATTCCATTCACCGCAGATGGCTGGATTAGCTAACATGTGAGCTGTACGTCAGCAATCAATAGTTGAGAACAATGCTTTTTTATCTCGAATTCGGTGTCCACGAGCAATTTAGTATTAGCTACCGCATTTTATCAAAAATATTTCGTAAAAAAAAGTCACCTGAGCATATTCATTATCATCAAGAGCACGCTGAATCTTTTTCCAATCTCGCTCATTTCTCCTCATCGGGGCTTCGAGTCTGTAAGAAGCTCTGACAATTCGACATGTGATTTCTTGGCAAAGGGTCAACGATCAGCATATCGTGGTTAGCAAACCTTCGTTTGACATCCAGCCTATATGCCTTGGCCTCCGCAGCATCCTTCATATTCGTACATTTGAGACGCAAAATTTCATAAACTCGACGTGACTGACGCTTGAATAAAACAGCATCATGCGACGCTGGTTAGCCATGGAACATATAACAAGGCAAGACATACCTTCGTTATCTTCAACTTGTTGAGTGCAGCAATTCTCATATCTTCAGTGAATCCATTTTTGAGCTTGGCCGGAGCAAACTCGGGAAGTTTTGAGCAGTTAACGCAATCAACGTAATCTCGTAGATACACGAAATTATCAGCAGGATCCTCAGCTGAATCACCGGAAGCCAGCTTTCAGAGCATATCAGAACTGAGGGTAATCTTTTGGACAACATACCCGTCACGTCCAACACCTCCTTCATCGAGCACAGATCCTTATAGATTGCGTCCAACAGTTTTGCACCAAGTCCACTTTTCCTGAACATCGTAATTGACAGTACCTTTGAAAACTGGCAAAAAAGGACGCGATGCTTTCTTTCACTGCAGAAATCGTAAAAATAAGAGAGAACTCATAAAAATTATAACCAACACCCAGCGACAAGGTCTTCAAAAAATAAGGAGGAAACTGAACTATAAAGTAAATGTAAATGAAATTATTACAAAGAATGTAACAAATTAATTGGAGGGGGTTTTTATCAAAGAAGTAGTTTGTCTTCCGTTTCGCACGTGCCCTTATACGGAAAACAAACTGACACCGATATCCTCCCCCCGTGCTCTTCAGTAAGGAAGGGAGGTAAAAGAATTGGAGTGTGTATATAAATAAAAACGAATACAAGACTAAAACTTACTACCGTAATAACTTCGTATAGCATGGGCTCGCATCGGATCCGGGTATGCGTAGAACCTGTATAAAGATGCATATCCAGCGAGAGAGTACACACGAGACCCGTCTCCTGCGTCGTGGGCTCTTGACTCAAATCTGAAACCTTTTCTTGAGGGGACGTCTGGAAAACCTATAGCAACTAACATATTATTTTTCTTAGAACTATATAAGGAAATGATGAATAGGACGGTGAAGAGTTGACATTGGATGGAAGTGTCTATAATTAAATAGAAAAATACGTAGCAGGGGAAGTAGTGACAACCACTAGGATTCGCTGTCTCGTTCGTGTATTGGGAGGCATTCCGAATATACCACAGGGCCAGCGACTGAACCCTGGCCAAGTAGGCGTCAAAATCAGGAGAGCTCTCCGAAATTTTGTAAAGTTCGTAGCACTTCTCCCCTAAACTGCCCCATGTCAACGTAATAGATTATTGCAACCACTTCATTAAACCTTCTAAAAACAGAGTGGCAACTATGCTCTGATTTCGAAAGTCGTGGGATGGTAATATACTCATTACTTAATAGCTTTTCACGAAATCCAAGCTGGATTCTGACCTGAGTTCAGCTTTAAAATCAGGTCTCCGAACGGCTTCATATTCTGTTTTTAGATAGAAGCACTTGAACGCATCGCTCGACTAACATAGCCCATTCTATTTCCCTGGGGAGGTTGATCTCTTAATTTTTTGCCATGACGTCGTCACTCCTTAACAAAAATGGTATTGCTAATCCTAAATGCTAAGCGAGGAGGCGAATTATTAACTCACTTATGTCTTTTCAAACACTAGGAACAACGCTGAGTGGAAATTGAATTTGCTGGGGGGGGGTTGGATATAAAAACATCGACATATCAGTATAATTTAAGTTAATATGTAGGTCATCATATCCATAAATCGTCTCCCTGAAATAAAACAGTTCGCGGCGCGCAATGGAAAGACATTTAAATACATTAAAGACATTACAAATATCTTAACACAAATATTCGTTCTCAGAAACTTACTTTTCACCAAAATGCTGATGTGCAAACTCTGGAGCAAAGCTTTCTACGTCAGCTACTGATTCCCAATTGGAAACTGCAAATAAGGAAACATGAATGCTTGTTTTTAAATAATGATAATGTACACATTTCAAGAACAGCAAAAATCCCACCAAAGCGAACCCGAACAGCGTCCAAAGCATTTGTGACGAATCGGTTGGCGGACGCTGTTAAGATATTATCTTGTTCCATCCTCACCATCTGCAAGTATCTACTGAACCCATTTAGCAATTAAGAGACAAAGAACATCGAAACGAAAAGCTTGAACGAGTCATACAAGGTATTGTTACAGTGATTGGAAGTGAAACTATGTGAACTATAAATACCGCATAGAAGTATTTTGAACTCGGAAAGGGAGAAGCTATTGCATTTTGTTGGTGTGTCCAGAGAGTACATTCGTTCAGAAGCTTTCCAATATTGGCAGTTCAGGAATGATATACAGATGAAATACGACATTTCAGTCCCGCCTAGGGCCGGATTACCGCCTTGTTCACATTGCCTATTGTCATTGCCTAAGCATGGCTGAGCCCAACGTTAGATTTTGTTTGAGAAATGCCCAGGCAATTGATCGGGTTGACACTGATGCCATCTTGAATGAACATTTGCGGTGTTTCTCCAATGAAGGTTATTCCAGCCAAGACCAAAGAAAACTTTGAAGCCCCACCTACACTTGAAACTGTAACGCGAACTTGCATGGGCTCTGTTGTTTTACCTGCTCAAGTTATGGCACGACAGCAAAAACCTGACTGTCAGTGAAATCGTCTTTATTTTTTGGTTTCATGGAGAAAAAATTGAGCTTTTACACGCTTGTAGCCTTTCTCTTCAAGTTTCTAAGCGACCCCTTGCATGAGTCTCACGAAATCGACAGTCATCAATCTACCGCAATGAGGGAGACATGTTCAGCGCAAACGATCGCATACTGTCTTAGCACTAGCCTTGGTTGTAACAGAAACAGGCATTCTAATCCGTAACGGTCAGAAGGTTTACCAACTCCGTAAACTTCATGAATTGCCAAGACAAAATTCTTCACACCTCCACGCCGGCGGCGGCATTTGCGGGAATCTAATGAGAATATCAGATCATATAAGTAAAAAAGGCAAGGATTTTGGAAGCACTAGGCGATCAACAGTTGAAAGTACTGCGCTCTTGCTTGGTTTCCGTAGTTTTGTCTCATCCTCTACACAGCACGGCGTTGTATTTATTGCATGCTGCGTCAACAATGAATGATCTTAGCATAAGCTAAAATGTGAGAATAAAAAGGCAGGGAAACAAGGAGCAGCGCTAAAATTCTAGAAGAATCTATCTCATTCAATGCACCCTTCACCTTTATGTAAGTAGCAGGTTTTCTCGGCACGCAGGTGACTGCACGAAATCAGGTCCAGTCTATTTGGTGTCGCATTGGTTTGTCGCGAGGCTTGGTCTTGAGAGATTAAACACAGCTCACACGAGCCATAAGAAAGGAGCTAAAGGGAGAGATCAGTCACCACCCACTTATAACGTACAGCTGAAAGTCCCATTGGAGGTGGGAAATCGCCGAGAAAAAGTTCAAAAGCGTCGTGAAGTACTGAGTACCACCAGCCAAAGAAAAAAGGCTCTAAAAATGAACGAAGTGATGAATCGCATTAACCATATAATTATGAATAGCTCGCACATCTTGGAAGCGGCTTTCATCCAGTTTCATTGTCCTCAAAAGATCGGAGTTGAAGAGCATCTTATAAACTTTTTAGTGACACATTACAGCCAAAATGTTCCAATGATCTGAGATAAAAGATCTTTTCGAGTCCAAGTTCTGGAGCTACCACTTGAGAGATGCCGAATTGAAAAATCACATTCGCAAAGGAACAGCTTGTGAGGCCTTGAAGAGTTAAGGATCTCAAAAGAAGGCGCATGCCCAAAGATACGACCAAACATGAGGGGTATTCATTTTGAAAGAGGCTAAGAAGGCGAAACTTTACTGAGCTCACATGACAGTACCTGAATGGCTTACACACTTGCGCGCTCGTTGGTACCCTTTCTACAGAAAGTAACAAATCTGTTTTTATGGCGAGCTAAATTCAGAGATGGAGGACCATGCGTCATTTCAACACAGGTGTATACTTCAACCTCCTGTCTTCTGTGAGAAGGGTTCAGAGATGTCTGACAGAACGTCGGATTGACTCAATAAGTTCTAACCATGGAAACAAACCTATTGAGCGAAATCGCGCAAGCTATTAATGAAAGAAGCGCAAACTAGCACCCCATAGTAGAACCAACAGTCCCAGAATCGATGAACAGATGCTTTCATCCCTTCATACCCCATGCACATCATATCACTTCTTTTGTGCAACAATCAACTAACATGATGAAAACAAACAAAGCCAGAGATAAAAGCTATGTGAACACGCTTCGAACCCGCTATTAATAGAGAACTATGATGAGAATCTGATGCTTATCAATAGCAATGACAAAAAATTCAGGACTCGAAGACCCAAACATCCAAGAGTAACTTGTTCATTATCAAGCCCATGGATCATATTCGACAACTGTGACAGATGTGACACATTGAAATCGGATCTAGCTGTTTCGCGGCAAAAAAAGGACAGCGCAGGCATTCCGCAAGGGACCGACTCAAGCTTTTTGGCGGTGGCCTGCAACGCGCCGCAGCCGCGCGCGATGGCCACTTCGAAATGCGACGCTGTCGGGGCTGCAGGCGGGGGAGAACCTGTCAAGCAGGCCTCGCCGTGTTTCAGATGCTACCGTGTCCTCTTCTGACTTGTGACCACATACACGAGGCAGTCTTGGGGCTAGCAGTTCAGAGGTTCTCCGTTATCGTCAAAAATACCTAAATGAGAAGTTTATATCTTAATATTTCGGTCTTCCGCAACTATAGCGTCCCGTTATTCCCAAAGTGCAATATGAGTTGACCTCGTGTCTTATTGGGTGGAGAAATCCAAAGTAATCATCACACTTGTACTTATCCAGTACTACCCCTGAAATGGGTTCAGTTTCATAGCCTCGATGTTATATCTCAAGTTCCTTTGTTTTTTTTATTCTAATTTTGGTTGAATGCACTGAATCTTGTTAGTTCAGTGCCTTGGACTGTACCAGGGAATATAGTAAGCCTTGTTTTCTTTTCAATACACAATAAATTGCAAATGACCAGGTAGTTCGCGTAGTGAGATTGCGTACTCTTATAAAAAGCCGCGTATTGATTCGTGCGGGAAACCAAACTAGCGATCAATAGGCTCGTTTACCATTGTTGATTTCATTCTATTTCCTCATTATTCATGAAAGGGTAATGAGTAAGAGAAGAAGAACATCCACAAAAGATTATTGTTTGAAATTGATCGTTATAAGCTTAAAATTTGAATTTTTATGGTAAAGATTGCACTGGAAGCACATGGTTGACTTCCTGCATTGTTTGCGAAACCGCTCAATTTCATTTCTTACTTTTTTTCTAGTTTTTTTTTCTTTCTTTCAATCATGAGTCATTTATTGGCATCTTGCCAACGTCTGTATGGACGTTACTGTTGTGCTCGGTTCAGCACTATTTAGGGATCTGTAACAGTAGTTAATCAGTCGTCGATCCAAATTGATTAAGAAACTGAATGTAAACGAGTATTGGCACCTTGCCAACGTCTCCTAATTGATATGAATCTCCAGATTCGACACTGTTCTAGTGTAGAACTGAGGCAGTGTTTAGCAGTTCTTGGAACGTTTTTGATAGTCCTGCTAGCCCATGCTCAACGCGTTATTGCTTTTGCTTGACGTGTTTTCGGTACCATGTTTTGGGGCTTAATCCAAGTCACAATTTCAGATTTTGACACGCCTTAAGTGGTATGCTTTCATGGTGATGTCCCTGTAGGATGCGTCGATGGAATAACATCGCAGCGCGAAAGTCACTATCTTATGGGATTAAAGCCAGACTTTCTCGAAGCTCTTGCA